TTACAATATATAGGAAAATCACACAATACCAGGAATCATGGCCCAGCGAAATTGATACACACATTTTTGGAGGGACATAATTCAATCCATGACAGCACTGAACAACAGTAATACCTGGGAGAAGCCATTTTAGATGGGGTGGTCAAGTCAAGGAGGCCCTCTCAGAGGAGGATGAGAGTAAGCCAGCTATGGCAAGACCAGTGGAAGGAAGGAACAGCATATGCAGAGCCCAGAGAAGAGAAAGAGTTTCTGTAAAAATGGTGTGGCGGAGCATCTGACCTCCTTTAACTTCACAAGGAGGAAGGAGAATCAAGATCAGTAGCCCCGACTCCTGTGAGGCAGAGGTCAGAGATATCTCCTCTCTCCAACCTTAAATTAATCAATAAATGGTACTGGAACATCACAACCATACTTTTTACATCAAAATAAATTGCATTTGGATAAATGATTTAAGTATTAAATGTAAAGTCATAAACGCACCAGGAGAAAAATGAGGAAATTCTTTTTTATAATCTTGGAGTTGGGAAGACATCTCTAAGTATGGAACAAAATGCAGAAGCTATATAAGAAAAGACTGATAAATTCAGTTTTGTAAAAATTTTTAAAATTCTGCATGGCAATAAATACCATAATTAAAGCAAAATGCAAATGGAAGACTGGGAATGATGCAAATTATATCACAGATCAAGAGCTAATTTCCTTAACTTATAAGGAGAGCCACAAAATCAATAAATGCACAGTAACCCCAAAGAAAAATGGACAAAAGATACAAACAGACAAAATTCAGAGAACATAGAATACCGCATTTTACGCAAATAAAGTGTGTGTTATATATTTTTTTGCCAACTGCACAAGCCCTTCGTACATTATTTTCCTAGGCCAGCTATTAGCATTATATGTTGGAGTGCGTTATTTACGTGGGCATGTTATTTGTGCAAAAAATACAGTACAGATCTTTTTAAACACAGGAAAAAAAGCCCAGTCCTCCTAGACAACTATTTCAGGCCTTCTCTTTCCT